ATTTGTGTTCATACATGCCTGTGGCCGAATTGATTGATCGGTTATTCGATTGACTGACTGTTTGAATTCTTGCTTGACGGCATTCGCATGTACTACGACGTGTGAGCCGGACTCCGCCTGCCTGCTTTTCTACACGTTGATCGTTCCTACTTATTCCCCGGTTTGTGTACCGGCTACATATTTGCTGTTTACAATAAACTTACTGCTTCATTCGTTGTGTGCTCATTTGTTTACTAAAATTGGGACACAACAGCACCCATGTGGGAGCTTCTAGAAACCCGTCATGCAAGGCCTTTGAATTTCGATTAGTTGTGTTGTTCGCTGGTGCGTTGATTGTCAGTCCGCTTTTCGGGATCGGCCCTTAGCTTCAAGCACCCAACGAGACAAGCAGAACGTGGACGGGACAGCACCTTATCGGCTGGGGGCTACCCAGCTTGGGCGGGTGGTAGCTGTCCAATGAAGGGCGAACACTTCTCCCACCGTCGAGAGGAAGCCCCAGGTACTCCGCTCCTACGTCCATCTAGCGGAGAGTTTTTGACCAGTAAACTGCCCCTCACCGTATTTATTTGCTGGAGTGACCTCTCCAGGGGCGGGTGTGGATAGAAAAGGAAGCCAGGAGGTGCCCAAGCAGCTGGCCTTGTGAGACTGGTCTTCTTCTGGCCTCTACCCGTTGACCTTTCAGGCATGATTGGATCTTCGACTGTGAGGAGCCATCCTGTATAGCTCGCAGGGTCATGGAGGCACGCAAGCCATCACACCACGTCAAGGTGCAGTCTCGTCGTGATGGACACCTAATCTAATTTAATCTTATCCCAATATTCAACTACTTCGCCAAATTGCCGAGCTCCTGATCTATTCCTCAGCTTCGTCTCACCGCAAACACAAAAGGTGGGTGGATCAGACAATATGGGCTAACCGAGTTTGCTGGTTTTGTGCCAACCAGTGAAACGAAGCGTGAAATGAAGCGCATCAAACTACTACTTCATCAGAGTCTATGCACGTAACACAACAGAAACTTCAATTGCGAACTGATCCGCGAAAACAGTGGTTTACTGTCATTTGTTCCATTTTGGTTAGCTTACCTTTGAACTGGAGGGAGTTATGTCGCAAGTTGGCCATGGACAGCTGGTATGCTTGAAACCGAAGAAGCCTATGGTCGTCACCTGTTCACTGGCAGGGCTGAGCACAGTAACTTCCAAGACAGGCGTCTGATGTCCTCGGCTTTCCAACCTGCACGTTAGTCACATACCGACACAATAATATCGGTGCTGTGAAACGATTTCAGTATGTTGTAGAACTCAACCTCTTGAACATTAGTGTCTATGCAGAGATGACACAAACACCTTTTGATTGCTTTTCTCCAACGCACTAAATGAGTCTTACGACCTTATTAGGGGAAACATAATTTTCTTTGAAAATTCCCGCAGAATCAATGAAAATGGATTTGGACCAATCGCTGCCATGGGAAATTGTTTGTTTTTCAACGTCACTGGATTGGTGAAAAAGGGTCGGACAGAATGCTTGAACTTGATTGGTCCATTCAGTTCATTGGTGCTCTCGTATTTTTCATTCGGGAAGCGTATAGGTTGCGCACAACCCTATCAGTGTAGCATACTTTTCCACTATTTAACCCATTTTTCTGCTGCTTCCAATAAACTGTCGCACTTACATTTATTTTTATACTGGAAATCGCTGAAACGTCTCGAGAGACAAGATCCCAGGATAGATAGGCAGAGACACAATCCGAATGCCATGTAAACGACTGTTGACGGGAATCCAATCCACAAATGAGACTAAGCTGTCATCTACTAAATTACCTGCTTCTCGCTGCCCGACCGAACGGGCTTCGTTGTCTCCTGGTGTGAGGTGCACCTAGAGGACCAACCCAGCGCACCCAAGTGGCTTATACCCCTAAGAACTTGAATGGGAGTCCCTGATAAGTAGCAGATCAATTCCGAAGAGACATACACGCTTATGGATCCACCTATATCAGTGTCCGTACGCTGAATTTCCCTAGTTTCAGGGATTGGTGAGGATTCAGAACCTGCAATCGATTTGGTGGAACAATACTTACAACGCCTTCTTGAAAGGAGCTTTTTCTAGCAAGAAACAAGCTATCTTAGGAAATGTTACGAGTTGCAAGGAAACGGAGAGGCTTGAACACAGTTTGAACAAAGAGCCTCCGAAGGCCTCAGTATGGTCGCGGGTGGATGTCTTGGGTTTTGACTGGTCACCCTTCCGTTGCAGCCCGCGAAATGCTCCCATAAGACTAAGCGTTTCAAGTAGTCTCTGCTGAGGAGGCCTTACCTACTGCCTTCACGTGACAGAGGTTTTTTGCACGAAAATGAGACGACAGAAACATCAACAACATCCGGAGGTATGACGGTTTTGGTGAGCCACTGGCAGTTCATCCAGGGGAGTTGGCTGGAAACTCCGATTCAAAACCAAACAAGAGGAAGCGTACGAACCACACCGTCCTGGTTGTGATAGTGGTTATCGGCTCAATTGGGCATCGGGGTGTACTTGGCACCCTGGACGTTTGGCCCCATCCAAAGGACGTATGAACCGATGAACTGGATACCGGTCCCCCAATAGATTGCGATTTTCATAGACCGCCCAGCTGCTTTGCGAGCCAGACTTTGGCTAGCCGGATGCCCTGGTTGTGAATTCCTCCAGAAAATCCACTTGCATGCGCAACCTGGCAGTACTCCGCCCACAAACAAATCATGGAACGTTTTTCTTTTTATAAAGATTATTGTACTATGATTTGTTTGGCAGTCAGTCCTCAAACGTGTGAAATACATACAATTGAACAAGAAAGGTAATATATTACCAATAGCCCATTAACCACTACCCACTATTCTCGATGCAATTGGCAGGGTAGTTCTGATTATTCTGCGCGACGACCGATACAGAATGGAATTCTTTGTAGTTTGTTTACTTATTAAAGTTTTGATGGGTGGATACTGTTACGGAGTTCAACCACTAAGCAGAAGAATGATTAAGGCTCCCAGAAAAGCCTTTAGTTATGATAAAAAGCTAACCACAAGGCAGAGAGAATAGTCAAGTGGAGACCCATCTACATAAACCGATTATTCCGTTATCCTTTTACCTACTGGGAATCCAACTCGAGTCCAAATCCCAATCTGGAAGACCAGCAGATTGAACTTGGTCTGATATTTTAGATAAGATGTTTTGACTTGACAAGACCCACTCTGAGTAGACTGCTCGGCCAAGGAGTTGCATTATCCATTAAACCAAAACAAGGTTCGGGATTTAAAAGATGCCCATATATGGGCGACAAGTGCAAAGCGGTTTTTGAAGTGCGGTTCTCACCTTATAATTAACCACTAACCGAAGGAGTAAACGAGCATTGTAGGCTGAGTAAAGAAGCTATTTGAACTTCTGTCAAAATAATGATGATGGATTCTGATACATGATCAAAGTACAAAGGATAGAGTTCCTGGACCACTGATGCTTTGCTTTGACGCTCGAAGAACCATTTGTGTATATAAAAAATACGACACCAAACGCCAAGCCGCAAAAATACAGAACCAGAGGAATAAACCGCGAGATATGGTGAGTGATCAAATTTAAGAAGATAGAGAAGGTTGTGGCCACTGGTAATGGCTCTTGGAAGAGAACAACTGCATGCCACTGAGCGCATTCCCAGTTCGCGAATAGGGGTACGGTCGTCATCTTGCGGTTAACCATGAATAAGGTTGGCCTAGCCCCCCCCCCCTCCCCGAATAAGCAGCCGCGAACGATCAGCGGCAGCGTTCGAGGATGTGCTGGATTTACCTCCTGACAACTAGACTCCGCACAAAACATCACACATATCTGTGTACAGGGCTGTGAAGTGGAGAGTTTGGCCCACCACTAAATATGGCCATTACCCTTTGTTGAGATCCATTGTTCGACAACGTTTTCCAGAAGAGGTGGACGAACCGAATACTGGCAACCGGATCATCTGGAATATCGCTGCTGTCTTGCAGTTCGCACTTGGTTGCGT